CTACGTATTATTATTTTGTTTAATATATTTATTATAATAAATATATTAATACACGATACATAATAATTATAATATTTAATTAATAATAAATCGGTAATTATAAAATAATAAAAAAAAATTTTATTATTTAAATAAATATTTATTTATTTGATAATTTGTTTATTTGTTAATAATAAAGTATAACCGATCATAAAAAATTTAAAAAAAAAAGTAAAGTTTATTTGAGGCAAATAAATTTTTTTTTCAGTGTAGCAATCAATGATAATTAAAATATCGATTTTGAATTTTACAAAATAAAACAATTAACGACAAATTTTTCGGACGAATTTCAAGGAGAAATATATATCTTATCTGCTTTTTTAATGGGAATCGTAAATTCAAAAAAAAAAAAACTGAGTCATTTCACAGGATTCTAATTTTACTTTCTCCCATCAAAATCCATTATAATAAGGTGTTTCCTATATACATAAATTAATAAACTATTAGGGTACAAGGTACAAGGACGTTTGTGAAGATTTTTAAAAAATGAGGGAATTCCGGAACCTATTTTTATATATATATATTGAACCGGATCAAATTTAAAGAAAGTTAAAACTCTTTCCCAGGAATAATCACATAATAACTGCCAACACACACTCACATTTTGCCGCAATGATAAATGGACGTTTTGTTTCAAAAGATATTTATGTATAATAAATTCATATTATACCCAAAAGAGATGATCATGTAAATTCATAAAAAAAAAAAATATTTTTTTTTGTGTTCTTAAAAGGAATTTATCGCGAAAGAATTTCAAGAATTGTCATATATATTAATATTTTGAAAGAAATTCCACCTACGATATTAATGCAAATTTAATTATAAAAACAAGTGGTTCTGTCTCATTTTTTTTTATAATTATATGAAGATAAATTCACAAAATTAACTGTGGAATGTTTTAATATTATGAAACTAATGAATAAATTAATATGTCATTTAATACTAAGTTTATATAATAGATCGCCAAAATTGAGAATTGGAAATTTCATTTAATTTTACATTAATAATATTCTCACTATTTTATAGAAATTTTTAATAGATTAAATAGAATCAATTATTGCACTGATGAAAAAAATTTATTTGATTCAAATAATTAGTTACTATATAAATAATAAATAAATATATATTTATAAATAAATATTTACTTGAACCAAATAATTTTTATTTTTCAGTGTGTATGTAGGAAAAACAAACGTAAATTAAAACAAAACCTAGCGGTGGCGTCTTCAACTAAAATATTCCCCCTAGTGATGGCGTCCTCAACTAAAGTGCCCAATATTTAGAAATATTAATATCAATCATTAATATTAATAGTGGAAAAAATCTTTGTTCGGAAATAATCAGTTACTGTTAATAAATAAATATTTACTTGAAAGAAATAATTTATTCATTTGGTACAAATAATAAATAAAACCAAATTACGTTCTTTTGTTTTCAGTTAAAACTGCATTTAAAAATAAAAAATTCTGACAGTTCCATTTTTATATATTAAATAACAGAAAGGCAGTTTGTCATAACTCAATTCTTTTTTTTTCGAACAACTTTATTTTCAGCTTGTCATTCCTTTAATCGGAGACTATAAGCATCTTGACAGTTTAGATGAATATATTTGCTACTTGATTTAAACACCGCGCAGGTGAGTAAATTTATCTTTTAGAATTACAGTTTTAATTGATAACATTTTTTTTATTTCAAAAACTTTTGCTTTCAGTAATTTTTGTTTTTTTTGCTGAAAGTATCACTCTCATCTTAATTGGTCCCATTTACAGCTCCTACGCTATCTGATATTTCTTTCACGCAGTATTTCCTCTCATAAAGAAACACCTTGCTCAACTTTCGAACACCCACGACAAAACAAAAAAACAAAAAAAAAAAAACAATAAGATTTTAAATGGAATTATGAGAAAATTTTATGTCAATATTCTCATTCTCTCCTTTTTTTTTACTTCATTAAAAATTTTTCACACAAATGAAGATTAAAATTTGCGCTCTCTCAAAAAAAAAATTTCAATGTGTGGCAATTTGTCCGACTTTTCACGAAAAAAATTAAGGGGGTTCTATCGCTTTACTGAAGTAGTCAAAACAGAAACCAACTTGTAATTTGACTTACTGTGTTCAAATTTCCAAAAAAAAAAGTAAGGTTATGTTGAGAAATTATAATGAAAAGTTCTGAGTATAAAATATTTTTTAGAAATTAATTGCCAAGAAAAAATAATTAAAAATTTAATTTTTTTATTTCTAAAGCATTTGAAAAATGTAGTTATTCTGTGTACCGGAAAAAGAATGAGATTTTCTTTTAAGGAGAGTGAAAGTAGGTTCTGCGGATGGGACAACGATTTACTATATATTCACCTTGACTAAACTTGAGTCAGTGTAGCCATGGCCTTAGACTTGAATGTAACATAAAATAATACTGGCAAAAAAAAAAAAAAAAATGTAACAATAACTAATTTTCCCAAGATTCTGTTTCGAACAAAATGGAAATTGAAACCAAACTCTATTTCTTCGGTGCACGTAAATCCTCAATGATTTACACACCGCGAGAAGAAGAATGAAACAACTGGTAAACCTATCAAAGTGCGGTCACACGAGGCAATAGATTTTTCTTGTCAGATGCCTTTCATCATCTAGAAACGGGAAACAGGAAACTAAAACTAGAAATGCAATCTTGATGATAAATATGAGAAATAAATCTCTCGATATCATTTACTCGATATTTATTTCTATTTCGGTCACAAATAATCAATTACCTCACAATTATTGTTTTTTTTTTTATTATTTATTTATTAATATTATTATTCCCATGTTATTAATTTATTTATTAGTATAATTAATTGTAATTTATTTATAATAATTTATAATTTATTTTTTCTCAAATTCAAAAAATCCTATATTAATAACGAATTACTTTTTAAAAAAGGTAAAAAAATAATGGCCCTTATTATAATTTCGAAAGTGAGCAATTAATCGAATGTGAGATTGAGTAACATAAAACGTTTCTGGTTAATTAACTGTATATTGGATATATATTCCACCAGCATTATTTTGTATACACCGTTATATTTTGTTATTAATATCCCAGCTATTTGTTATTTAAAATGTGGTGAACTTTTTTTTTTTTTAAATTATCACCTTGTAAATGATTATTTTTTTTTTTTTTTTTCAATTTCATAAGCGGGCAATTTCGATATGCGATCACTTTCGATTTGGTATATTATATGCCTTCGGCAAATCGACCAAGCAATTAGACTCTTGTGGAGAAGATCAGTCAGTCATTTACCTTTGCGACTACATGTACAATTTCCGGTTTCAGCTTTAACATGCCCGTTCAGGAAAGTCTTTCATGTGACTTTCCATTAGGTTTAGATTATGATTTCTATTCATCATCAATTTATTTATAATTTTATAATATTTCTATTATAAATAAATCATTCATTTATATATAAATATATATAAAATATAATATTGGGCACTTTAGTTGAGGACGCCATCACTAGGGGGAATATTTTAGTTGAGGACGCCATCACTAGGGGGAATATTTTAGTTGAAGACGCCACCGCTAGGTTTTGTTTTAATTTACTATATAGTTCGTTTTTCCTACATAAATATATATTGTTATGTTTTCCCTTTAGTAAAATTTTATCTTTATTTTTTGAGTTAAAATTAAATTATTGAAATTTAATTTTATTCAAAGCTAATTTACACCCGAAAAAATTATATATTTGTCTCAGAGCCAAATAAATATTTATTTGTTGCAAATATTTATTTATTTGTAGTCAGTAAATATTTATTTGTTGTAAATAGATATTTATTTGTTGTAAATAGATATTTATTTGTAGTCAATAAATATTTATTTGTTGTAAATAGATATTTATTTGTTGTAAATAAATTTTATTTTATTTAAATACAAATTTTATTAATGACAAATAAAATTTTTATTTACCCCAATTAAATGGGCTGAGACAAATATATGTTTATTTAACTCAAATATAATTTAGTTCAAATAAAACAAGTACCACATCAATTTTGTTTCAATTTATCAAAATTTTTTTGAATAAAATTTTTTTTTTTTATTTTTGATATGGAAAATCAGGTAGTTCGCATAGATGCGCTTCTTTAAGAAATTTATTTGTGCATGATCGGGCACAGGGAGAAAGTAAAGGTCATGGGTTTATTTTATGACCCTAACGACCCTGCTGGATGAATCTTGAGGTTCCTTGAGTCTTGTCTTATCCTTAGAAAGCATCTTATTTTATAATACAATGTATATTTCTTCAGCTTATGTTGTTACCAGTCATTAACTATCTCTTCTTTCATTCAAATTGGCCAAACTTTTTTTTTTTTTTTTTTTTTACATAAAACATGCTAAAATTTAGAATTCCTTTTTCTTTCAAATTCAAAACACTTTACATTTCAATGAGAACTTTCCACGATAAAAATTTTTACACAAATAATAATGATAAAAAAATAATTTTCTAAAATTAATATTTTCCATACTTCAATATTAAATTTATAAATATTTTTTTTCAATATTAAATTTATAAATATTTATAAAATTAATATTGAAAAAAAAAATTTTTAAATTTAATATTGAACACTGTTACGAATTTTGAAAAAAATAATTGCATTTACGAAACGAATCGCTAAACAATTTTGCGCAGTATTATATAAAGTCAATTTTTCCCAGCCAGGCTAATTAATTATAAACGCATATCATACAAAATGCGCAATTTAAGAAAATCTGTCATAATTGCCCGTTTATACTTCAGCGGAAGGATAATAATAATAATAAAAAAAAAATTGAGCTTATTAAATAGAATCGCGCAAATATCATTCAATCCGCGGATTATGAAGATTCTTAATAAGCATAATGATAAAAATCATGATAAAAAAAATAATAATTAATTCGTTCGCATCCTTGTAATTAATGATCCTATTGTAAAATCTAATTAAAAAATACCTTCTTTCTAGAAAAACATATTTTTATTCATATAAAAAAAAATATTCATTTCTCAATTCGTACAAAAAAATACCTTAATTCTAAAGTTCCGCTTACAATAGCAAAAAAAAAATTTAACATTATTTACAGACGAAAATGATAATTATTTAACAGTATTCAGGTATCATATACAATTCGATGTTATTTTCCTTGTATACGTTTTTTCATTATAACGATTTAAAGCTTCGTTTTTGTTCTCTGTTTATAAAATCATGAAATTATATATATATATTTCTCAGCATTAATCGTTTTTTTTCCTATTGTTCATCCCTTTACAATGGCAGAAATATAACAATTAAAAATAGAGGATCAATCAAACTCAATATTAATTAAATCCTCGACAATTGACAATTCAACAAATTTTCGTTCCCAAAAGAATTTTAACACAATTCTCCAGAAAACAATTTTCTTTTTTTAATGCCTATAAATAAAAATAAACAAAAATATTCTGAACATTTTCACAAAATAGAAATGAAATTCAGAATTTTTCATTCATTTTTATAACGAAATTTTTTTTTTTTTTTTTCATTTGCTTGATTGAAAAAAAAAAAATTTATTTATACTTGTATCCTTCATCCTCGTGATGAACTGGTGCTTGTACCCAAACCTTTTCCCAAACGGGTTTCCAAATTTTTTTCCACTCAGGCACTTGAACGTTTTTATGTACTGGAACCCATTTGCTCTTCCACTCGGTTTTCCAAACCTTTTTCTTTTGATTTTCCCATACTTGTTTTTTCTGTGGTACCCAAACTTGAACATCCTCCTCTTTCCAAATTAATTTCTTATCAGTGACCCAAGCTTGTTTCTTCTCAGTCTTCCAAATTTGCTTCCACTCTGGTTTCCATTCTAATTTTTTATCATTAACCCAAGCTTGTTTCTTTTCTGTTTTCCAAACTTTTTTCCAAACTGGCTTCCAAATGAGTTTCTTTTTCCAAAGATCATGACTCGTGTATTGCCAACCCTCATTGTCCTTGCCTACAATACGTTCGCCAGGAATTCCAATTTTAATCCACTCGGGTACCCAAATTTTCTTCCAATCCGGTACTTGTACTTCTTTCCAAATTGGCACTTGCACTTGTTTCCAAATTGGTTTCCAAATTTTTTTCCAAGCTGGAACCTGAACGTCCTTCCAAATGGGAACTTGAATTTCCTTCCAAACTGGTTTTTGTACTTTCTTCCATTGAGGAACTTGAATTTCTTTCCAAACAGAGACTTGCTCATTTTTCCAAACGGGAACTTCAATTTTTTGCCACTCCTGCTTCCAAGTGAGTTTTGATTCGGTTTTCCATATTTGCTTTAATTCTTGCTTCCATGTTAATTTTTTTTCCCATTTTCCTTGTGGCGCTGGTGGTCCATAAGTTGGAGCTGGTGGTCCATACGATGGTGCTGGTGGTCCATAATTTGGTGCTGGTGGACCATAATTTGGAGCTGGTGCACCATACGATGGTGCAGGAGCACCATAAGAAGATGATGGTGCAAAATTTGTTGACAAATCTGTACCATGACCACTGTCAAAGGAACCTCCAATTGAGCTATGATCACCGGCAAAAGATGATCCCAAATCACCACCACCCGATGGTCCCGATGGTGGTGCACCATAGGAATCACTTAGGCCAACGTCAGGTGTACCATAAGATGCTGCCGGTGGTCCATATTGTGACAATGGTGCTCTAAAAATAACAACAAAATTTTATTTATTATGCCAATTAATAATTAATAATCAAAATATATAATTTAACTAATAATTATTAAATATTTAATTATTTTATACAAATAAAAATTATTTAATACCAATAAATATTTATTTCGTAATAATCAAGTAACCGATTATATTTGGAAACAATTTTTTTTTCTGTACTCAAATAATTTCAAAAATAAATTCATAATTAATTATTTTGAAGGTATTTTCAAAAAAAAAAAAAAAAATTCAAATTTTTTCCACTATACAAATATTGACAGAAAAAATTCAAGAATTTTTTAAAAAAGTAATGTAATCTGCTAAAATATTTCTTAAAAATTACTAAAACATTTTTTCAAACTGCTAAAATATTTCTTCAAAATTACTAAAACATTTTTCCAATCTACAAAAATATTTCTTCAAAATTACTAAAACAATTTTACAATCTGCAAAAATATTTTTTCAAATTTCTAAAAAATTTCTTCATACTAAAAAATTTCTTTAAATTAAAAAAAAAATTCTTCAATTTACTTAAAAACGTTTCTTTAATTTAAAAATGGAATTTTTTAATTTAGCGAATTAAAATATTTCTTTGATATAAAGAACTATTCTTCAATCATAAAAAATTCTTTCTTCCTTTTTTTTAAATCAAAGAACACTCTTTACATTTATTATTATTATTATTTTTTTTTTTTTTTATTGATTCTTTTTAAATAATTCGTAGCGGTAAATTTTTGAGTTATTAGAGTTTAAAAAATATTTAATTATTTTATACAAATAAAAATTATTTAATACAAATAAATATTTATTTCATAATAATCAAGTAACCGATTATATTTGGAAACAATTTTTTTTCTGTTCTCAAATAATTTCAAAAATAAATTCATAATTAATTATTTTGAAGGTATTTTCAACAAAAAAAAAAAATTCAAATTTTTTCCACTATAAAAATATTGACAGAAAAAATTCAAGAATTTTTTAAAAAAGTAATGTAATCTGTTAAAATATTTCTTCAAAATTACTAAAACATTTTTCCAATCTACAATTTCTTCAAAAATTACTAAAATATTTCTTTAATCTGCTAAAATATTTCTTCAAAATTACTAAAACAATTTTATAATCTGCAAAAATATTTTTTTAAATTACTAAAAAATTTCTTCAATTTACTAAAAACGTTTCTTTAATTTAAAAATGGATTTTTTTAATTTAGCAAATTAAAATATTTTTCTGATATAAAGAACAATTCTTCCATCATAAAAAATTCTTTCTTCCTTTTTTTTAAAATCAAAGAACACATTTTTCATTTATTATTTTTTTAGTAGGAAGTAAAAAAAAATTTTTTTATTGATTCTTTTTAAATAATTCATAGCGGTAAATTTTTGAGTAATTGGAATTTAAAAAAAATTTAATTACTTTATACAAATAAAAATTATTTAATACAAATAAATATTTATTTTGTAATAATCAAGTAACCGATTATATTTGGAAACAATTTTTTTTCTGTACTAAAATAATTTCAAAAATAAATTCATAATTAATTATTTTGAAGGTATTTTCAAAAAATTCAAATTTTTTCCACTATATAAATATTGACAGAAAAAATTCAAGAATTTTTCAAAAAAAAATAATGTCCTCAAAAATATAATTGACTATTGATTAAAATATATTGACATTACAATAGTATAGAAAAATATGAACTTGAGAGAATTTTAAGCAATAAAAAAATAAGTGAAAGTGCTTCCCTTTAAAAGAGGAACTAAAAAAAATATAGTTAATAACTTTTTAATGGGTTATGATGAAATGTATTTTCTATATATATAAATTTAAGAGCAGGTGTTCTGCTCCATATTAAATTAATTTGAATTACTTTCACTACCGAAAATGTTTCGTTGATGCCCTCTAACCATACTTAAAAATTGAAAGTGATATATATTTTTTAAATATATTATTACACAATAATTATTTTCACAATAACTTTTCAAAAAAAGAACTTTCAAAAAAAAATTTCTATTTTTAATTATTATTTGATATTTATATTTGTTAGTAAAAAAAAAATTTTTTCACAAAAAGTATTGTAATTCACAAAAATTCCAAAATATATTTTATATTATAAAAAATTTCCATAAAAATAAAAATATAAAAATTTCCATAAACTTTGAAAAATTAGTCCTAAAACTTTCGCCGCGATTTTATATTTAAATTATTAAATTTTTTAGTATCTGAGTCCGTGATTTTAAATGTCAAATAAGGATTCTTAATATACGCAGAAGAGGTCCTTATTCTTCATTCCATCACTAAAGTCAAACAGCGTCTATAAACTTTAGAAATTCTTTTCTAAAATATTATTGCTATATGCAAATCTCACATAAAAAAAAATAAAATAATTATAAACATTTCTTGAAAGCACTTTCACCAATGTTCAATAATTCCATTAGATACTTATATATTGAATAAACGAAAAAGTGAAATTGCTAATCTTTATTTTTCGCTAATTCCAAATGAATTAATCACTTCTTTTTTTTTTAAATTTAAATTGAAAAAAAAAATTTTTTTGCTACGTCCAATTTACTTTTTTTTTGTTATTTTACCTTCAAAATTAATTAACTACCTAATTAATTTTAATTATTAATTAACATAATTAAAATAAATTTTAAAAAAAGTAATTAAATTTAAAAAAAAAACCTACTCTTTTTTTTCCCTTACTGGTTCTCCGTGAGTGGAGACGATCAGTAGGCACCCCAGTAATACCTGAAAATAAATAAATAGAGTCATTAATTTATTTGTCTTATAAATTGTCAATTCATTTATGTTAAACGTTTTCAATTTATATATTTTTTTTTTTTTTGCAAAAGGAAGTTACGGGATAATAATAGAAAAGAGAAATTTTTTTTTTTAAAAGCCTTGACGTGTCTTTTGCGATAACTAATAAGTCTTTAATTAGATCTTGTTATCATCTGACAGGTTTAAGCTTCTGCATCGTTGCTCAAAGAAGTTTCGATTTCAAAACAAGTTTTTTTTTTCTTTTTTATTCAATCGGTCTCTCTGTTCTATTATTCCACTAAATATATTGTACCTGAGATTACGTCAACGAATGTCAAAATTCATCAACTCTACCTACTTTCTTTCAAAAAAAAAAATTTTTTTTCTTCTTTTTTTATAATACAAAATGAAAACAAATTGTTTGGCTTATCAAAACAGAAAGTTGATTATTTATTTTATTAAAACAAGATTTCTTCAATCGGCTTAAATATTTTTTTTCAATTTAGTAAAATATTTCTTTAATCTGATAAAATATTTCTTCAATTTACTAAAACATTTTTTCAATCTTCCAAAATATTTCTTCAAAATTACTAAAACAATTTTACAATCTGCAAAAATATTTTTTCAAATTACTAAAAAATTTCTTCAAATTACAAAAAAAATTTCTTCAATTTACTAAAAACGTTTCTTTAATTTAAAAATGGAATTTTTTAATTTAGCGAATTAAAATATTTCTTTGATATAAAAGAACAATTCTTCAATCATAAAAAATTCTTTCTTCCGTTTTTTTTAAATCAAAGAACACTTTTTACATTTATTATTTTTTTAAAAAGTAAAAAAAAATTTTTTTATTGATTCTTTTTAAATAATTCATAACGGTAAATTTTTGAGTTATTGGAGTTTAAAAATATTTCTTTACTAAAAACATTTCTTTAATTTACAAGATCATTTTTTTTTTAATTTAACGAATATTTCTTTGATTTAAATAATAATTTTTCAATTATAAAAAATTATTTCTTCAATTTATTATTTTTTTTAAATAAAAGAATACTTTTTTCATTAATTTTTTTTTTAATGAAAAAAAAATAAATAAATAATAAACATAAATATTGATTCTTTTTATTCAAATAATTCATAGGTAAATTTTTGAATTATTGAAGTTTAAAAAAAAATTTTTTTTTAATTTAGTAAAATATTTCATTAATCTGATAAAATATTTCTTCAATTTACTAAAACATTTTTTCAATCTGCTAAAATATTTTTTCAAAATTACTAAAACATTTTTCCAATCTACAAAAAAATATTTTTCAAATTACTAAAAAATTTCTTCAAATTAAAAAAAAAATTTCTTCAATTTACTAAAAACGTTTCTTTAATTTAAAAATGGATTTTTTTAATTTAGCGAATTAAAATATTTCTTTGATTTAAATAATAATTTTTCAATTATAAAAAATTATTTCTTCAATTTATTATTTTTTTTAAATAAAAGAATACTTTTTTCATTAATTTTTTTTTAATGAAAAAATAATAAATAAATAAATAAATAATAAAAATAAATTGATTTTTTTTATTTAAATAATTCATAGGTAAATTTTTGAATTATTGAAGTTTAAAAATATTTTTTTACTAAAAACATTTCTTAAATCATATTTTTTTTAAATTTAACGAATATTTCTTTGATTTAGAGAACAATATGCTTTAATAATAAAAAATTATTTCTTCAATTTTCTTTTTAAATCAAAAAACAATTTTTTCATTTTTTTTCTTTTTTCGATAAAATATAAATTAAATAAATTTAATAAAAAGGAAAAAAAAGTTCTATTTATTTATTTGAAACATAATAATGGTTTTCTCATTAATTTTTTTTTATTTAAATAATTAACAGCGGTAAATTTTTCAGTTAATGGAATTTAAAAATATTTTAATCATTTTTTTTTCAATATCCACCGAAAATTTTTTTAGCTAAAAAAAATTAATCTTTATTTCTCGTTTTTATCTTTTTTTAAAAATTTTTTTCTCAATTTTTTTTTTTTTTTTGTTATTCGCGGAATTCCCATCAGGTAAATTTCTGACGGCATTTAAAAAATGAAAGTCGTGAGGAATGGAAAGATCCCTCCCGATGGTTATTTCTCAAAAATTAGGTCAGACCATGTGGTCATTCCCTGTTTTTTTCTTTTTGAAGAAGGACGCGAGGTGTTTTTTTTTTTTTTTTTTTTTATTCTCCAGGATGTAATATTATGAGCTTCAGTGAAAGTGCTGAGAACTCGCCGTTCAATCGACCACGCAATTATTACAGCTTACATTGTATTACCTTTATATTATTATTTCCGCACGATTCTTACGTCTATAATATCACGAGATTATTGTCATTTTCAGAGTTTTGCGCCCACCTTGTCGAAAAGTCGTTTAATAAAAAAAATTACATGGACCCCCAGCTGTGATGATTGAATAAAAAACGATTTTTTTTTGAGTTATTATTTAACGTATCGAAAATGATATGCGATATATTATTTTTTCAAAAAGAAATTTATTAATTCGAATCGCGTTTCATTGACTACAAAATATATTTATAAAATTCACGCCTCCATGACATTTGTATTACTGATTGTCACCGTGCAAATCATCGATCATGAATTACTATATATAAGCCATTTGTAAATATTTTTATTAAAAAAAAAAAAAAAAAAAAAAAAAATCGCGTTAGCAAAAAAAAAATATGGAGAAATTTCGAAAGTTTCTCTGTGGGGTATCATTTAAAAAATAAATCATCAGTTGTTAAAAAGAAATTTGATTGATTATATATAGTTGATATTTGTCGTGGATTTTATAAAATAAAGATCAATTTATGTCTATTATTACATTTATATGGTATAATTTTGCGATTTTTTTTATTTTCATTTCTTTTATCAATGTTTAACAGTTTTTTTTTCTTTTAATATTCTTCTTTTGTTTTCTGCTTTGTTTATTATTTATTTTTTAAATTATTTTTTTGTTTTTTATATTTAGTTTATTATTATTTTTAAAAAATTAATTTTGTTATTTATTTTTTATTTTTTTTTAAATTATTTTTTTGTTTTTTATATTTAGTTTATTATTATTTTTAAAAAATTTATTTTTTTTATTTATTTTTTATTTTTAATTTTTTTTTTGTATTTTTTGGTTTCTTATTTAGTTTATTATTAATTTGATAACTGTATTTTCATAGTTCAGCCTAATTATATTGAGAAATTAACATTTTTTACATCAACAGATTTTGAACCCGCCTTTGATCCCAAAAAAAAGCAACGAAAAAACAAGTAAAATTTTGTGCTAAATTTTTTGACATTACGAGAAGAATTATTGATATGACACACTTTAAGATATGCAGGATAATATTATAAATTTTCGTTGACTAGAATATTCAGCTGGTCATTATAGACGAAGGTAACTTCCTAAGTGTCTCAGATTTTACAAGCAAGATATAACTAAAAACTGAATTTTTTTAAAGCATATATTTTATGTTCTTAAAAATAAAAACTGCAAATTAAATTTTTATTTCTTTTAATTTTTGACAATTAAATTAATAATTAAAAAAATTAATTTTCATTAATTAATTTCAATTTTTTTTATTTGTAATTTTAATTATAATTTAATTTTTATAAATATAAAATTTTTATTTAAATTTAATGTCAATTTAATGGCAATTTTAATTAAGAATAATTTTATAGGATATAAAAATACAAATTAACAAACAATAGGAAAACTGTTTTTCGTGTAGTTTCAATAATAAAAAAAAAAAAAAGTAACAACACTATCAGTGTAACGAAGCGAAACGTTACTTTTTTTTCATAAAATCATTTTGCTCATCTCTGGAACTAATGTACGTTCTTATAAAAATCACTGAAGAATAAAAATTCCTTTTACGTTTTGCAAATTGGTCGTAAGAAAGGAAAACATGCAAATATATATATATCAGAAGCCATTAAATAGCATATTAGGGAAAAAATTTTCCAAGTGCTCCATATATAAATAAAAAATAAATAAATTTAATCTCGTAAAAATAAAATATTCCCCCAAAGAATCAAATTATTTATGACTTGTTTTTTTGCATTATTATTAACAATAAATATAAAATTTCAATGCTCAAAAAATGATTATATATGTTTAAAAAAATAATTATATGCATATTAAAATTAGTTGAAAATTATAATTTCTATTTTTGCATTTTTTTTTCCTGATGCATGAGAAATAAAAAGTGACTTCAATAAAAATTTACTTTACCCACAGGAAGCGTGGAAAAAAAAAATTTCTTCTTCCATCTAATGTAATTAATCATTGTCAAACATTGAGTTTAATTGCCAGGACTAAAAATGCTTGGAAAAACAATTTGTCTAATTTCACTGCAATTATCAGACAAGAAATATAATAATTATTAAATGAAAATTTTTATGAAATATTGACTTTAAAATCTAATTAATTTTGCAAAAAACTAAATTTAAATATGATAATTATTTTTTATTTTATTATTATTTTTTTTTTGTTGAAAATTGTAAAATAATATTTATATATTTATAATAATATTTAAATATATTTATTAATTAATATAAATATTTTTTTAAAAAGCAATTAAAAAAAAAATTATCAACAAAAAATTGTAAAAATACTTCTCATGTAAATAAGTTGTTAATAAATTAAAATTTAATGAATGAATATTATCGGAGCACGTGAAAAATGATTATGTAAAATATATTGTATTCATTTTTTTTTTTTTAATATGATTTGAAGTAAGTAGAGTGGGTAATTGGCTGTATTTAAAATTATGATTATATACTGATTATATAAAACTGAATTTTCAATTAAAAAACTATTTCATTAATTGCAATGCGTAAAAATTATTCTTAGTGTAAATTTTTTAACTTTAAAGAAAACTTGGTCAAATATGTTAGAGCTTCAATGGTAACAAGAAAATAGATATATATAACTGTTTCTGTAACCGGTATATCGACGCCTCCCGTTGATAAGATGCCCGTTCATTTGTCAGAATAATAAAATGCCAACTCGAGCTCAGTTCAATATGAAGCTAGTTCAATTGTCAAAATAATAAAAGGCTATCTCAGTTTCAGAATAATATAATCCTATCTCGCATTAAATTCGAATTCAAGTTTTCGTAAATTAAAAAAAAAGTTTAAGTCGATCAGAATATTAATTCATACTTTTTAATGATTAATTAGTGATTAATAATTATTAATAAAATAAGAAATAGAATAAAAAACAAATAATAAAATAAATGAAAATAAAAAATATTATTAAAAAAGAAAAAAATTAATTTAGCCTTGAATTATTTATTACTAATATTATTTTTTTTATTATAATTTTTTTATTAATTTTTTTATTTTGTTAATCATTAATTAATCATTACAAACTATTAAATAATATTCCGATCGAGTTAAAAATATTCAAGTTTTCGTAAAATAAAAAATTTTTAACTCGATCGGAATATTATTTAATAGTTTGTAATGATTAATTAATGATTAACAAAATAAAAAAATTAATAAAAAAATTATAATAAAAAAAATAATATTAGTAATAAATAATTCAAGGCTAAATTAATTTTTTTCTTTTTTAATAATATTTTTTATTTTCATTTATTTTATTATTTGTTTTTTATTCTATTTCTTATTTTATTAATAATTATTAATCACTAATTAATCATTAAAAAGTATGAATTAATATTCTGATCGACTTAAACTTTTTTTTTTAATTTACGAAAACTTGAATTCGAATTTAATGCGAGATAGGATTATATTATTCTGAAACTGAGATAGCCTTTTATTATTTTGACAATTGAACTAGCTTCATATTGAACTGACCTCGAGTTGGCATTTTATTATTCTGACAAATGAACGGGCATCTTATCAACGGGAGGCGTCGATATACATATATGTATAACGAAGTTGATTCATTGACGCGTGTACCATGAGATCGATATTTTCTCAATTATTACAAAATTAATTATTATACATTTCCAAGTTAAATAGAATTTAATTAAAATCATAATTTTTTATTTGTTCAAATTTTATTTAATTTTTTTTAATTTTATTTAATTTTTATTATTTATTTATTATTTAATATTTATTTATTTCTTTATTATAATATTTTATTTAACATAGGTATATTGATAATTTATTAAAATAATTATTTATATAATTAATTATTCACTTAATTAATTAATGAGTTAACATTAAATTTAAAAATTATATGAATATTTTATCTGTTTATGCAAAAAAAAATATATAAAAATTTATTTTAATAAAAAAAATTTGCACTACTCCCAAAAAAAAATAAATTGTTTAAATATACCTAATTTGAAGAAATTGTTTATTTAAATCAAAGAAATAATAATATCACATTAAATCCACTCAGAAATAAAAAATTGTTTTAAGTAAAGAAAATCAAATTTTTTTGACTGAATCAAATCTTTTAGAACCGGTTCTTTTTTCAGAAAAAAAATTTCTTTATTTTATAGAGGACAATTTAGAAAATTGATATTTTTTTTCATTCAGAAATCTTAAAATTGAAGAAAAAAAATGTTTTTAAATTGAATAAATTTTTGATTTCTCGTCTTATTTACTGAGGAAATTGAAAAAAAATATTTTCTATCCACAATAATCTTTTCGAGAATTAAAGAAAAAAAAATGCTGTTTTAATAAAATATAAAAAAAAATTCTTTACTTTTAACAACAATTAATTATTAATTAACTGATAATTATTTATTTTTAACAATTAGTTTTTAGTAATTAATTGCTAATAATTAGTTTTACATAATTAATAACTTAGTTTTTAATAATTAATTACTAATAAATCAGTTACTAATAATTAATTACTAATAATTATTTTTTAATCATTAATTACTACACTGAAAAAAATTTATTTGATTCAAAAAATCGATTACATGTCTATTATCAAATAGACATTTACTTGAACCAAATAATTTTTATTTGAATTAAATAAATCGTATTTGATCCAATAATTTTTCTATTTGAAACAAATACCATTTAATTGACTCGATTAATAATTTATTATTTGGTTCCAATAAATATTTATTTGATAATATTCAAGTAATTGATTATTTAAATGAAATAAATTTTTTTCTCAGTGTAATAAACAGTTACTAATAATTAATTAATAATAATCACTTACTAATAATTAGTTATTAATAATTAGTTACTAAATAATTAGATAGTAACTTTTTATTAAAAATTAGTTATTAATAATTAGTTACTAAATACTTAGATAGTAACTTTTTATTAAAAATTAGTTATTAATAATTAGTTACTACTAATTAGTTACTAATAAATAAAAAATAATTAGTATAAATAACTAATAATCAGTTACTAATAATTAGTCAATAATAAAAAATTATTATTTCAAATAACTAATTATTTTTTATAAATAATTAACAATCAATAATTCATTTTAAAAAAAAATTTGAACAGAAATTTTTCAGTGTCAAAAAACTTCTTTTCTGAACATTTAATAAATGAAAATCCTGAAGATCTTCCAATATAAATCTTCACTGATTTTTCGCACACTTTTTTTTTTGTCTCATAAAAAGACAAACACTGATCACTTTTTTTTTTTTAAATAAATCACCACACAATAAACAAAATAAATTTTTGTTTATCGAAAAAATACACAAATATCAAAAAAAATTATTTTCACTAACCAGGGTAAACCGCATCTTCATTCCAAAAAAATAACGGCAACCACTTTGCCACGGATTTATAAAAAAAAAAAACGAAAATTTTTTTTTTTTTTTATTGTCACCGATCGTCACACTTCTCTGATGAATTCTCTGATGATAGTCGATGCTTTTATATGTGGCAGAAGTGCGTAAACCCACCGCCTAGACCCAGGACGCCCTGGGCATTAGAGACATGATGATCGAGGTGGGGCTCTCTCACCTCCTCGACCCACGTTTATGTGTCTGCTTCTGGTACATGATGGGGGTCGGGGCAGTACCATTGGGATTCCTCAAGTTTCAGGTGAGATTACATTCAAAGTGGGGGGGCCCCAAATGGGTCTTTCTTTTCTTTCTTTCTTTCTTTCTTGTTACCGCGCAAAAGGAGGAGGAAATTTAATTTTTTTTTTTTTTTTTTTTTATATAGGAACATGTTCATCGGTCACCCGAAGACCTAGACCATTGAGACCGCACGGTTCAACTTCTCTTGCGCAATATTCTTACCAGACAGTGAACAAGACGTGAGAGTGTGCACGCGTAATCAAACGACGCCATCGATTATTATATTTCGAGTGAATTCATTTTTTTTGCACGCATTTTTTAACCCCCCCTCCCCATATTTTTTTAGGGGAAAAATGTCAAAAAATAAATTAATAAATAAATAATTTAATTAATTATTTATTAATTTTATAAAATAGGTAATTAACAAATAATTTTAAAAATTCATTAACTAATTATTTTATAAAAATAATAACCAAATAAATTTATAAATAAATTAATAGATAATTTGATAAATTAATTAATTAATAATTTTTTAATTAATTTTAATAATAAATTAATATTAATTAATTATTTAGGTATATTATATAATAATTATTAATTAATAAATAATTTGATAAACTATTATTTATTAATAAATAATTTGATAAATTATTTTATTAGCAATTAATTAATTTGCTATTAGTATTTTCAAATTATTATCAAAGATCGTTTTAATCGATACAATCTATTTAAATAATAATAATAAAATAATTTTTTAAATTAATCAATTGATATTTTGATAAATAATTTTAATAATAAATATTATTAGCAAATAATTAATTTGCAAATTGGTATTTTTTAATTATTATTAAAGATCGTTTTAATTGATACAAGAATTTAAATAATAATGACAGGAATTAAATAATTTTATAAATTAATAAATAATTCTATAAATTAATAAATATAATATAAAATAATTAACAAATAATTTTATAAATAAATTAATAAAAAATTTAATAAATAAAATTATCAATAAATTATTGTCAATTTATAAATAATTTTATAAATTAATTAACAAATAATTATGATAAATTAATGAATACACTCAGAGAAATAGTATATTTGTCTCAGAGCCTACTAACTCATTTATTTGTTGCAAATATATTTTATTTCATTGGAATAAAAAATTTATTTAAACTAATGAAAAATTTACTTATGCCAAATAAAATTTGTATTTACACCAAATAAATATATTAGTAGGCTCTGTGACAAATATACATTTATTTAATTCACATATATTTTATTTGATTTAAATAAATCATTTCTCTGGGTGTAGGTAGTTTGACAATTAAATTTATTAATAAATATTATTTATCAATTAATTAATAATTAATAAATAATTAAATTAATTAAATTTGTTGTTTAAAATTTTGGGAATTTTTTTTACAGTACACTCAACAAAAAATATATTTTACTTTATATATAATCGGCTTATTGACTATTATTATCAAATAAATATTTATTTGTATCAAATAATTTTTATTTGAATTAAATAAAAATTTTATTTGCAATAAACAGAATTTTATTTGTGCTAAATAAATTTTTTTTTTAATTCAAAACAACAAAAATTAAATTACTGAGACAAATATATTTTTATTTGCTTCAAATATATTTTCATTTTAATTAAAAATATTAATATTTGAGTTAAATAAAAATTTTATTTGTGCTAAATAAATTTTTTTTTAATTTAAAACAAATAAAAAACCAATTCTATAAATTTGAAACAAAGAAAATTTAATTGACTCAAATAAAAATTTATTTGAAATAATAATAATAAAAAATTTTAATTTAATTTATTTAATAATAAATTTGTAAACTATTTATTATATAAAACGCAAAATGTTTGTCAGTTATTAATTTCAGTGATGTGACCTTGTTGGGGGGGGGGGGTATTTTTTCTACATCAAAATATGTTTACAAAAAAAAAAAACATTCCAAGCTATTAAGAAATAATTTCAAAAAAATGATCTAATTCCATTTCTAATCTTTTTATATAATCCACTTTTCCTATAGAAGAATATTTAAATTCCTAATTATGTAAAAAAAATGAGTGATGTATTTCCGAATAAAAGTAGTTCAATATAAAAATTATTTAAATAAATTCATGGTTGTTGCAACTATGCTTTCATTTTTCAAAATTATTACCAATAGTTATAGAAAATTTTTTTTTATTTTATTTTTTTATAATAATAATTATAGTCAATTTTATAGTAATTTTGCGCAAGCATCTTCACTAAATATTTTGACATTGAAAATAACATTAATTCTTGACACATAATTATAAGAATAAAATTATGAATAAAAAAAAAAACACAACGACCATAGAATATGGTGAAAGTAAATAATATTGATAAAAATTATTATACTATATCCCTAGGGAAAAAAAAAAATTTATTCAGAAATATTTTTAACCCTGAATAAAAAAGAAAGTTTATTATAAAATGAGAGTCCCACACATATTATATTGTCTTGTGTAAATAATTTATTTTAATGATCTACCTCTTTAGAGTTAGTTAGCGAACAATTTTCCTCGAGAGATTACACTGACAATATTTGTTTTTGATTTATTAGGAAAGTCGATGAAACTGATATGAATATTGTACTAAAAAATTTAGTAATTTTTTTTAAAAAATAATAATTAAAGTAATTAACTTTCAATGATTAATGGTCTAATAATGTAATTATGTAAGCTTCATAATTTAAAAATAGAAGATTATTTAATTATATAAAACGAAAAATTCAATCTATTAATTATATCATATTTTACTAAATTATATTGCGATTGTTACGATGTATTTATTATATTTGTTATGACATAATAATCCTAAATCTTATTACATATTTAACAATTATATTTTCTTTCAAGTGAAAATTTTTTTACTATAGATATTTTTTATGCTCATTAATCATCAAAAGTGTTGAAAATATTTTCTTTATTTTAAAATCCTAATTAACAGAATTTATAATTAGGAATATAAATTAAATTCTGATTTTTATTATAATAATTATCAGTGACATTAATTTAATTTTTCATTTAATTAATAATTATAATATTATATATAAGTATTTTTAATTATTATTAGAAAAAAATTTATTATTATATTATACCTAATTTATTTTTTTTTTTATATTTTCCTCTCTTCAATTTTTGTTTCCAAAAATTATATGTATTTTCTTTTTTTTCCCGAATAAATAAAATAGAAATCATTATAATTTCAAAACATATTTTTTAATGATTGCAATCATTTTTTTTTTCTCACAATAAAAAAAAATCATAACTCTTTGATAATGAGTAGCCTTGAAATAATGGGAAAGTTCAATCTGATCTAACTTTCCTTCCAGGAGTATGATTTTAATAATGTTTACATGAATAACAAATAAACATTTAAACTTGAAACAATGAATGTCGTGTAGCGTATTAAAAAAAATAATACCTATTTATTTTTATTTTCCCATAATACATTTTTTTTTTTTTTTTATGAATCATGCAAAACAAATAAACTCAGAGATTATTATTTCGCGTGACCCAATCAATAATTATGATAGGGAAAAAAAAAATTGAAAATCAAAAATATAAATCAAATATATATTCTAATTTCATAATTAAAATAGATTTTGTTTTTCGATAGATATAAAATATAAATAAAAAAAAAAAAAAAAAATTCACACCTTTTAATGGATTTTTTTTCCCCCTTGAATTTGATTGCAAATATTTCATTCATACAAAAATGTGAGAAACAAAAAAAATGTTATGTAACAAATTTTTGACCCTTTTTTTTGGGAGTTCAACGATTGTATTTCAACCTTCACTTTTACTGCGCCTATACTGAGAAAGAAGGGGTGAAACAATTTCTCTCTGAAAGATATATAAAACATCTCCGGGAGAGAGAGAAGGTTACATAATTTGGCTCATTTTTTTTTTTTTTTTTTTTTATTTACCTTTCCTCACATTCAATTTATTTTTCTTTTTTTTTTTATTCTTTGTTTTACCCTCAAATTTCGCAGGAAATTTGGTTTTCAAATTATATACCGAAGTATATATATATATATTTATATGATGAAACTGAAATATCTTTACGTAATTTCATAAATTAAGGCACATGAAACAGATTTTGGTAAACATATAAGTATTGTCATAAAATTAATGACATAATTTTTGTTTGTAATTATGCAAATATGTAGGTTATAAGTAATATTTTTTTTTCCTTCATTATTCTCGCGTATAATCACAAATTGATCGTTTTATTACAATTAATGATCGAAAGTTTATTAATAAATTGAAATATGACTAATTCAAATTTTAAGACAAAAACTTATGAAATTTTTTTTTTATTTTATTTGTACCAAAGAATATTAATATTTTTTATTAATATACACTAAAAAAATTTATTTTATTTAAATAATCGGTTACCAAATAAATAATTATTTGTATCAAATAAATATTTATTTGATAAAAATAATTATTTATTTGAGACCAATTAAATGGTATTTTTCTTTCAAATACAGAAATAATTATTGTTTCAAATAAAATTTATTCAATTTAAATAAAAAATAATTTGGTTCAAATGAGAAAAAAATTTATTTGATTCAAATAATCGGTTACTTGACTATTATCAAATATTTACTTGAACCAAGTAATTTTTGAAACCAAATAATAATTGAATTAAATAAACTGTATTTTAATCAATAATTTCTGTATTTAAAACAAAAAAATCTCCTAGAAATAAAAAAAATTTAATTGTCACAAATAAAAATTATTTGGTTGAAATAAATATTTATTTGATAATAATCAAGTAACCGATTACTTGAATCAAATAAAATTTTGTATTTAACTCAAATAATATATAATTTTTAATTAAAATAAAAATTTATTCGAAGCAAATGAAAATATATTTGTCTC